GAGCGATCTCTAAAGTTAAGGACAGGTGAAGAAAGCATAAAATATCAATTAGTTAAATAATCTTGAACATTTGCACGACTTGAACAAAACTCACGTGACGTGCATTCACGGCATCAAAATAAAACCGATGGACAGTTCAGGCAAACCCTCATAAACTTGATGATTAGATTAGCGACCACAACTTCGTGCACAAAAAATTGAACTTTCTTAATTTTCTTCTTTAGAAAACTTCACTTTTCTGCATGGTCAAATAGAAGCTAGATTATAACGCAACAGAACTTTGTGCTGACTACATAGCTGCATTAAATGCAACTGTATTTTCATGCCAATTACTATTCTAAACTGATTCGTTTATCTTAAATGCAATACTGATAAAAATAGACGATACAAAAGTCTTTGGAGAGGACATTGTGCAACACAAGCAGTGGATAATAGTAAGGATAATCTCAAAGCGAAAGCTGGCCATTTTGAGGTCGAGAAAAAACGGCAGAAAATCATGAGAGGCAGCAATGCGGGCTAGAACAGCAAAACTGTGCATTACGAAACTTAATTTAAGAACTTACGGTAACGATACCTTATGCAAAGGAAGTGTGAACAATTTAATCAACGAATTGGACTTTAAATTGTTTTTTCAACAAGTCTGTTACAGGCGCATTAGACACTGTTATGTGCAAGCAAATAAGCTAAATTTTAAGAAGAATATAGTTTAAATCAACTAACGAGCAAATATAAAACGAGTTCCTTTTCAGCCAGATGAAGTGCGCCATCGTATAAGACTTGCCGAGTGATCGCAGCGCACCGATTCTACTTTCCTCAGACCATCAACTTACTATGCATTAAATGGCCAATACAAAAATGGCAAACATTTCCGGAACTACACTTATAACTTACTTGAATTCCTAATAACTGAACTCGGCGCAAGTGCATCGACTGATACTGATCGTCTCAGGGGCCAATTTAATAAGGGCAAAGTTCTATGGTTTTTGAGACGTACAGTGCATCAGATTACAAGATCGATCCTACTTGAGCTAAGCAAAAGCATATTCAAGCACTGAAAACACTATATATACACTTTGTACTCTGAACATATTATGCGTTATATATATAAACGTGCGCGAATAGAATTAAAATCAGCTACTGCCGACTTTGCACAACTTAAAGTTTTACTTCCGAAGTATTCAGCAACGAGACCGGCTGAGATGCCCATAATCAGAATGCACGACACGACTGTTTTTAACAACACCGTGAAACTGTGACTGTCGATTTTCGATTGTAGGTAAGTCACGAGTGCGTAAATCTGGCAAAGGCCAAACACTCCTAATGCCTAGAAACGAGAGGTTTCACAAAAAAATGTATTTGTCGCTAATCATACGGCCATATGTTCACTGGAGTAGATCGGCTGGAAACCGACAAACGAAATCTGCATTGACAGGATCGTCCCAAGACAATAAACCTAATACAATCAGACCTAATTTATACCGATCTTCAACATTCGTTTACACTTACCGTTGAATACGCAATGTAAATACGGTGAGAAAAGCGGCCCGTTATCATTAGCACCAAAACGTGC